ACACTTCACAATTTGAATTTCATTATGATGGAATATTATTGATATTTGATATGATAGAACTCTAATTGATTATTATCTATCTTTTTCTTTCTTGCTGATCTCAGTATATTACCTGACATAAATTTATTATTTGCAGGCGTTCAGTGCTGGAAAAGAAGTTAGCATCTTCTCATGTACCAGAAGAAGAACAGATGCATCAACTGAAAGATTTAGAGCGCAAGGAGACTGAGTATATACGGTTAAAACGACACAAAATATGTGTCAGTGATTTTAACCTTCTTGATATTATTGGGGGGAGCCTTTGGAGAGGTACAAATGTGTTCAATGAGATTAAGTCATTAGTGGCCTCTTTTTGTTCCTTAATTTTGTGCCATTAGAGCATATTTTTTTGAAGTCTGTTGGAAATCTGGGCCGCAATTCCCAATTTTATTTTTAACATGGGAGAATAATCAGTTCTTCTGGTTAAACTAACTATTTCCAATAATTTCCCGGCTAATCTTTGAAACAACGGAGCTTGCCGGGAAGTAAACTTTTCTGATATGAACTAAGATTTCAACGGGAAAAAAATATTGGAAGAAAAAACTGTAAGAGGAAAACTAGAGGAACATCTGCTTTCAAAGTTTCACTAACTTCCATGAATCTAAATCAGAATTTCCGTTCGTTCCTAATAGCATGTTTTTTGTACATGGCAACTATGCACATGGTTGCCCATTGGTCATTTTTTTTGCCTCGATTTGCCCTCTACATTCTCAAAGACAAGTGAATTCCGATCTTGCAGCGCAATTTCACAATTAAAAGAAAATTCTTCTTTTAAGAACAGAAAATTATTTAGTCTGGAAAACCTGAAAGCCATTGAATTGATAGTTGCAACATGATGATGATGTCCTGTGGAAACTGTGATGCTGGGGATATTCTTTTGCCAAAAGCATAGGCATACGGCTACTAAATTCAGGATGTTAGGTATCTGTAGGTTTCCTTTCATTGGTGGCTATCATCATTATCCTAAATGTGCATAAGGTGTCTGGCCCAATGATGGTCAAGCTGCATGGGAAGTATTTAAGTTTCTCATTACATAATCATCTGTAAGATTGAAGTTTTCTTGTTTGCTGGAAATTGTAGAGGCATCATCAACGGGACAGTGATAAATGTTGATGCTGCAATTTAATTGTTATTATCAGATAAGAAGTCTTAAGTGGAGAGAGTATCAGAGTTGAAAGCATGAAGGAGGGGACCTCCTCCTCTTCACTTTTGATTGATATGGGAGAATTTATGTTTCCATTGTAGCTCAGAAGACCTTGTTAGAATAAGGTCATGGTTTGGTGGTTGCTGAAAAGATCTGTTGATAAATGAAAGCTAGTCATTCTAAGCAATACTTCAGATTTCTAAATGTTTTACCCCCTATGCATTCAACTGATATAACAGATTATTGACGCTAAATTTCTTAACCGGTTTCTGTTTATAATTACCTCTAAAGAATCTTGGCCTAGTTTAACTACTGATTGTGCTTGAACCAGAAAATACCTTTCCTTGTAGTTTCTTCCTTCCTTAATCCTGTGTCATCCCATTACCATATTTACCATTCTTAATCTATCTCTTTCTCTTTTCTTCTAAGTTATTATTGCTTCAGTGTATGTTGGTTAAATATGCAGGTCACGCGTGATCCTCAGATCCTGCTGTGAATTTTACAAGCCATTTACTTTTTTTTCTATGACTGTACCATGAGATTGATTCAATGCTTTTAAAATACGATTACACAGGTAAGACTTTGTCGTGAGAAGAAATCAGGCAATATTTATGCCATGAAAAAGTTGAGAAAGTCTGAGATGCTCAGTAGGGGGCAGGTAAGTTATCATTATAATTAAGTTGTACGAAGTCCCGTTCTTTCCATTCTTAAATTATGTCACTCATAAAAGAAGAGTTCTTTCAGCTCTTATGTTTAAGTTTCATCATATGCTGCAAATTGTTTGTTTTTGTAATCTTGCTGGCTACATTTGCAATACAGGTTGAACATGTTAGAGCTGAGCGGAACTTATTAGCAGAAGTTGCGAGTCATTGCATTGTGAAACTCTATTACTCCTTTCAGGATGCTGATTATTTATATCTGATAATGGAATATTTACCGGGTGGTGATTTAATGACTTTGCTGATTAGAGAAGAAACCTTGACTGAAAGTGTGGCTAGATTTTACATCGCTCAAAGCGTTTTAGCCATAGAATCTATTCATAGACATCATTACATTCATCGGTTGGTAATTATGTCTGGATCATTATGTGGGTAGCATGGTCTTTCTCTTGGAACCTGATTTCACCACTGTAAATTTTTCCTTTTTCCTTTCTGCAGTGATATAAAACCTGACAACCTTCTTTTGGACAAAAATGGTCATATGAAACTCTCTGATTTTGGTCTTTGCAAGCCACTTGATTGCACAAATTTATCATCAATAAATGAGGGCGAAGTCTTAGATGACGAGAACTTGAGTGATACCATGGACATTGATGAATCCTTACCAAATTCTAAATGTGGACGGCGCTGGAAAAGTCCCCTTGAACAACTTCAGCACTGGCAAATAAATAGGAGGAAGTTGGTAACTGCTTTATAACTACATTCAGAAATAACATTTTGTTGCTTGCCTGCTTAGATTTCATTTCATTTCCTCTTAAAAATGCCTAAAAGAAATATGTAATTTATTTTTCACAAAAATTAAAGGATATCTGTAAGTTGGAGGTAAACACGCAATCTGATATGTGCCATCTTATACATCATCATGCTTGCTGCGCAGTTGTCTTTCTTAAACAATATGGAAAATACTTTATCACTGGGGATTGATGGATCAGAAAATGAATCAAAGCTTTACAATGTTTGTTTTACTTCCAAATGTTGGGCATAAGGTTCAAATTCTCAATTCTTAACCAAATAGGAGATTAATGCTTTTCAGTTGTTTACCTTTTAATCTCTAATTTTCTAATAATCTTTTGGAATCATTTCACCCAAAAACCTTAAGCTATTGGGCAAGGGCTATTAGTGATTTTTAATATATATTTCAAGTATGCCTTCTCGCATGTAAGGCCTTTGAGTTTGACGCGTCAGGCCAAGTGTTGGCCCACCATACCCTAGAGTGAAATTTAGTTTATGGGTTACAAAGGTTGGTTGAGTTTATGAGAACTTGGCTCATACCCACATGGTATGAGTTTAAATCCTGTTTCCGGTAGTGGCAAATAAAATGTTTTATTGCGGACATCTTGTTGGTAGATAATCAGTAATTTATGGAAGTGCAGGGAAACAAGTATTCAACTATTGATCACTCAATCATGAAATCCCTAATACTGATCTGGCAATTTTCCAAGGTTAAGCTATTAGGAGAAGCTCCATAATGATTAATATACACATCATAAATAATCATTTAAGGCCTCAAATGTAACACATGAAATTTCAGTTGTGAATTGTATTTTATCATTTTAACGGATCTTATCTTTAGATACCTGCATACATATCCTTCTCCTACTCATTTCTTTATTTCATGACAGGCATTTTCCACAGTTGGAACTCCAGACTATATTGCTCCTGAAGTGTTGCTTAAAAAGGGATATGGTGTGGAGTGTGACTGGTCCGTTGATATTCTGCTTTTAGTTTCTTTTATTTGAGCTGCATCTGATCATTAAGTTAGCACATTTTGAAGTGAAAGCAGATAATAAATTTGCAGTTTTCACCCAAGGAAGAAAGATAATGAATTTTCAGCGACTTCTTATTTAACATCTTTGGATGAGATTCATAGAGTTCTAGGTTCCAAATGATGTCATGTAGACTTTTAAGTATAACGGGGCTAGTGAATTGTGCATATGCTTATTATTATAAAGTCAATAGAATATCTCGTTTTTGAATATCATGCGCCAAATACTATACCATCTGCTAAGTGTTTACCCAAGATAACATTTGTCACAGTGAAATGAAGCGACTTGCGATATTTCAGCCAAAATTTGTATGTAGGAACCGTTTTGAAGCATGTTTTCTAGTGAGATTTTAATTGAAAGATACTGCAAAATGAATATCTAGGCTAATTTTAAGATTTAATGTAGTGACCTTTTCTATATGTGCATGCTCCTATCCATAGGGACCATGACTAAGGATGTTTGGAAGGAAACCAAATTATGATTTTAAAAGTGATTTTACGTGCACAAAATAAGTATGTGAGAAAAGTTTCATCTCGATTTTTGTGAAAACACTTTTTAAAAGTGCTTTTTGATCATCCCAAACACCCCCAAGAAAAGAATCATAATTTTTTAGTAAATGTTTAAAATCATTTTTTACATGAAAAGAAAAGCATCTGTGAAAAGGGTTGGGGCGCCCTGAAAACCTTTCACGTTTATCCAAATGAAACTTGATAGTTCACCCAAGTCCAGTTTTAGCTGCACTAAAAATTTAGCACTCTCGGATATTCCTTGTCTCTTGTATTAAATGATTTTGCAATTGAATCTTCCTAAGGAAAAGGATCAAATTTAAATGCAAAGCTGGATAGCTTGACATGATTAATGTAATTCTTGCAGTTCTCCGATGTTTTCTACCATGAAATGTGACTCTCATTCGCAATTTATTTATTTATTTATTTATTTTTGGTCAAAATATTAGCAATTTATTTTAAAAGGAAGAAATATTAGAATCTAATGAAAGATGGCTGTTCAAAGAGGATAAATATTTCCTCCCTCATAACATAAATTGTTTATGAGACAAATACAAGAACTTGATTGTTTTTGGTATCCTATATATTTGATGAAGAACAGAAGTCATTATGTCCTGCTGTGATCATTTGACTGAAGTAACATCAAGTGATATTGAAGTGAGCCTTGGCAAGTTAAGTGGTCAAATACTAGTATTTCAATAGATAATAATTCTGACTGGATATTTTTCCCAGTTGATCTTTACGAACTAGATGTCTTGAAATTTAAAAATTAGTTGAACTGAAATGAAATCATCAAGAGCATTTGAATGATATAGAAAAATGTGAAAAAAGAGAGAGTAAAATTGAAGATTTTAAAAGACTCCTGTGTTTAACCAGTATCTGGTGGAGATTATTTTTCTGTTTCGCTGCTCTTACTGGGAAAATGCTGCTTTTGCTTAAAACAACGTTTCCTTTCTTGAAGTGGAACTGTAGGCTTGTTGCTAATATCAATTCTGCCTGGTTGCAGGTGGTCTCTTGGTGCTATCATGTATGAGATGCTTGTTGGTTATCCCCCGTTTTACTCTGATGATCCAGTAACAACATGTAGAAAGGTTTTAATTTCTTTATTCATTTTTCCTGTTCCTCATCCGCCTTCCCTCTTCTTTAGAACAACTCAAAATATTTTTGTCTCAGCACTACTTCCGAAGCCCCTAGATAATAAAATATGATGATTGGGAATTAGTTCCAGTCTCTTGTATTATAAATTTTTGTAAGGGCTAGACAGCAGTTATTTGGAAAACAATCTTTGACTGTTAACAATCCTTCATAAGTCCTTTTAAGGAAAAAAGTTGGACGTGGCCGTAATGGCAATTTCGATCTGCTAATTTATTTAGATTGATGTTTCAAAAACAAAGGTGAGTAAATAACAGATTGTTTTCATTGTTCTCACCACCATAAATTTTACTGCTTTTCGTATATCTGGTTTCTAATTTTTTAATCCAGAAAATATTACTTTAACTAGAAATATTTTACATAAGCTCATGGAAAGCTCTATAATCGTAAATTTTGATTCTTCACCCATCATAAATGAAATACCACACAATGAACCAAACTCTGAGAAATTGTAGAAATCCAAGGTAATATAGAGTTTTTACTCCCTTGTCAAGGATTTAGCATGAGAACATTTAATGGAGTTTTATGAATTCAAAACTTGAACCCTCTAGTAATTATTTGGGCTTGATTAGTTACTTTGAACCATTTCTCATGATACACTTTTGATGTCAATTATGTGGTTACTCAACCCTGTGGCTTACTTGTTAGTCTCATTTGCTGTTGGTTTTTTTTTTTTAAAAAAAAAATACAACAGAATAAAGCCTATACTCCTCTGGGTCCTATTTGTAAGGCAGAGAGAGAAGACATTTTTTGGTCCTATTTATAGAGCACTAAGAGAAATTTTTTTGCATAAATGTACAATTTTACCCTTCATTTATTATTGTTTGACTTTGTTTATATGAGGTGTAATGTATATTAAATAGGGATGAAGTTGAAAAATTGTTAGATTTTAAATGAGAGTTAAAGAAGTTTAACGTTTTTCTTGGTCTGTGTGAAATATATTAGAAGTGACTTGTAAATAGGACTAGAGGAGTATTAATTATCTTCCTTCTAAAGTTTATGAAAATTTGAGTAGATGCTAGCATTTATCAATTATTTTACCTCTTTTTGTTTGGATTTGGGGCTTTAAGTTGAGGTTGAAATTACCTTCCTTTCTGTGGCCTTGGTGATGATTGACTGCAGATTGTACATTGGAAACATCATTTAAAATTTCCAGAGGAGGCAAGGTTGACACCTGAGGCAATGAATCTAATTTGTAGGTTGCTCTGTGATGCTGACCGAAGACTTGGAACTAGAGGGGCAGATGAAATTAAAGTTTGTAAAATGTGTTTAACTATAGAACTTCACAATTACATCACTTTTCCCTGTCTTAACATTATCGCCAATTAATTGACCAGGCACATCCTTGGTTCAAAGATGTTGTATGGGATAAACTCTACGAAATGGAAGCAGCATTCAAACCACAAGTCAATGGAGAGCTTGACACACAGAATTTTATGAAATTTGATGAGGTTAGATATGATGAATTCTTTCTGGCTGCTATGCCCGATGGGGTTTACATCCATGATCTCTCTGACTCTGTTTCTTGGTCCTGCCAGTTGTCCATCCCTTGGCCATCATGACCAATCACTGATTTGTATTTACTCCGTTCATTCAGATGCAATATGTCACAACTTCTGTAACTCCTAACAAATACTTCTTGTTGAATATCAAAGAGAAGGGCATAATTACTTTGTCCTATGATGTTATTATATCGTGCTGTTTCATTGAGCCAATACTAATTGCAGATAGAACAATGTCTGAGCTCCTTCAAATTGTATGCATATGTGAGTCTGTTTGCATGATTACTTGTTTGTCTGATTAGATCCAGTCTCATTTAGTAGAACCATTCTCTAATAGAATGGATTTCTCTAAAAAAACGTTGTGATGAAGTGATTGTTTGTAAATGTGCCTTCTTTTGGATGCTATGTTTGTTATGGGCGAATAAATTTTCATATCTGTTTCTCTTACCAGGTGTCATTAACTTGTTATGACATGATTGTAATTGTGTTAATAGGTTGAGCAACCAAAACCAACTAGAATTGGATCTGGTCCCATCAGAAAGGTATCCATTCCATTTACTTGAAAATTAATTGCACCTGTAAGGCAACAATCTAGTAACTCACCTCATTTGTTTACTTTTGTGTCATTCATTTTGAAATGGAAAGTTTCAGCTGCCTTAGTGTGTATCATCATTAGAATCCTTAAATCTATTTTCTGATCTTTAGGCTTCTAAGCCCTCATCAGAATGGGGTGTAAGAATAATTACTTAGTAGTTATATATTTTTTTGAAGTCAAATACAAAAAGTTCAATTCTTGCTGGTGCTAGGTGGGTTGGCTCAATTGGTAACATTGAGTTATATCAACCAAAAGGGTCTTTGGTTTGATTCTTGCTGGTAATGAACTTTCTAAGATTGATGGTTTGAGAAATAACTTAGCAATCTGCCTGTCCTTATGATACAAATTAATGCATCTGATCATATTTTCTTCTTTCCTGCTGGCGTTTATAATTTTTACCTTGACACATTTTCGCTGAGCTTTATGGTAACAATGTGTTTGGAAACACCTTGGGACTTTTTTTTTTTTGGTATGCAGATGCTATTGACTCCTCAAGATCTTAGCTTTGTTGGTTATACATATAAGAATTTTGATGCTGTCAAAGGCATGCATCATACTATGGGTACGTGATTTATTCCCCAGAAATTCCATCATACTTTTCCCTTCTTATCTCTAGATCTCTCGACATTTTGTTATCAGCTAAAGTCTTACAAGGGCAGTTATACCTTTTTGGCATTTTTTTCACTTTTCTAGATAACTAAATAGGCAGGCCCCTTGCATTGCAAAAAATTTGAGAAATAAGCCGCATTGTTCATGGTTGTTAAATAATACGGCCAGATCCAAATTTTATATTATATGCTGGTGATAATTTGGCTGAATGGGGATTCATTATGCTTTTAGTCTGAGATACAAACTCTTGTTAAATCTCTGATTGTAATTTACCAGGAGCAATATGTGGTTAAAAGTTAAAGATCATGAATAGTTATCTTTTCTGAAAAAATCCCTACCCCCTTCCTTCTCATCTCAAGGTGTAAAACAACATTAGCTGCATCAACATCTACTTGTGATCACATTGACGTTTTCTCGCTAATTGGGTATCTTAGTAAATATTACTCGAATCTCTGAAAGAAACATGTTCTGTTAATTCAGTCCTTAGAAGAGGTTGACTATTTCTTTTAAAAAAATTATGTGGTCATGTTGTGGACTAAATTGATAGTTAAACGAGCTCTTAATAGGATTATATCGATGGGTTTTAAAAAAATGTTGGAGTCAAATGATGGTAACTTGGCAATGGCAGCCGTCTTTTGTAGATTTGATTGATAGAACATGCATATTTTAAGACCCAAGTAATAATTTTTAATTTTCTTTGGTTTATCACTTTGACTGGCAATTGTGGAGAGGAAGAGACATTATCATTAATTTGTCATTGGGTTATTACTAGAAACATTTTTCAGTGTATTTATACAAAATCTGAGAATGAGCCGTATGTGGCTGCTGAATAATGCGGCTTGTTATAGATTTTATTACATATATATTGAATATATGTATCAAATATTGATATTAATACTATATTATTTCTATTCAACTGTCACAGATAAGGGGATGAGGAGCATGTCATCACCTATTCCACCAGTCACTGAATCTCCACAGAGTAATGAGCCTGGCTTCTATTAGTACTCATTTAGTTTGCATTATATCAAAGTTAAATTGTTCTGATAGATGCATTTCTTTCTAGGTGATTCTGGAATAGACTATTCTTCCGGATTCTCCAGCCGGTAGGATTCTTAGACAGTCGCGTCCTAAGGGAATGCTGCTTTAAGGTGAAGCATGACCGGACTCCTTGCCATATATAGAAATTCTTATGTAACAAATGGATACCAGAACCTTCTATGGTGATGTTGGGTAGGCCTGTTAGGTGCTTAGTTTCCAGCCAGCTTTGTCATTTAGTTCTGAGATTGGTTGGCATATCGGTGTGTCTTGAGGTTTGGCTTGATTAGAAGCTGCACCAAAATACATAGTCTATAGTAAATCAAGCTAGTTATGATTTAAGCATGTCTGAGAAATTCTTATCTTCATATTATGTACAGCTAGTTGCACAATGAGCTCTTGAAAATCCACAAAAAATTGGTGGTGTAACTGGAAGTTTCATCTTCTCCTTGCACTTTTCTGACTATGCAAGAATTGTACTTCAGAACTGTCTGATCCACTTTTCAGTGGGACCCGCCTCTAACATGTTTGCGTTTATGGTTTTTTTTTTTTTTTGCCCCCAATTAATTTGGTATGCTTGTTTGTTGCAACCAAGGTTTCTTTCAGAATTTTGTCTAGAAATTGCAATTGCAACACGTCTGTGTAACAGTGAATGTTTTGAAGATGTGCAGAGACCACTTTGTTAGATAAAACTTTGCGGTGGTATGAAGCTTTTGATTCTCCTTATGGTAGCAACTTTAGGGTACCAAGAGATCATATGTTGATTTTAATGACCATAAGGAACACGTCATATGTTGATTTTAGTGACCACAAGGATCACGTTTTGTTTCCAAAGATTTCATGATCAAGCCATGATTGTTTTGTACAACACTGTACAGTTAACAGAGCATTTTTGTCAATGTTTGCTCTTTTTCTGTCACTGCCTTGTCTTCCTGCCAAACTTCCATGTTTAGTCTGCTCTGCACCCGTCGTTCAATCATAGCTTTCCGGTACGGTACAGCCCCAGCTTTAGGATATACTCCTCCGGTCCTAATTATAAGACCCAATTGACTTATTTGAGGAGATTAAGGAAGTAAGTTAAGTTGGTTATTTATAATAAATAAGTGTTGTCATTCCTAAAATATCCTTGCTAATTAAGTATATTGGCTAAAACTATCATTATTAGAAGGATTATCTTGGAAAAAAATGCATAAATATAAGAGACAAAATGGATTGGGTCTTATAATTAGGACCAAATAAAAAGTCAAATTGGGTCTTATAATAAGGACCGGAGGAGTACTATCTCTTTTCTATAAGGGAAGGGTTAATTGACTAATTTGAGTAAATTAATAAAATTAGTTAAATTAGTTATTTATAATAGATAAATATTATTTTTTCTAAAATAGTCTTACTTATATGTATTAGTCAGAATTACCATTTGATGAAATCTTTAACATGTGCAACCATTACAAAGACTATTTTGATAAAAAAATAAATAAATATGAAAAATAAAGTAGATTGGGGTCATAAATAAATTCTTATATTAAGGATCGGAAGTAGTATTTGACAAATGGATTTTTTTCCCTAGCACATAATATTTAGCACCTTGATGTTATATTGTTATTTCTTACTGGCACCACAGCATTATAATCTTATTTATTGTTAATGATGCTTGATGCAGCTAGAAAATGATATCAGTGTGTTGAACGCCATTTTTTTTTTTTTTGGTTTGAATAAGAAGGGCAGACATCCTTGACCTAAACAAGATTAACCTCATGACCTTTTGTTTACAAAGGAATTTACCTATCATTGGGGTTGGTTTGGACGGAAGGAAAAATGGAAGGAAGAGAGGGGATTATTAAATGAAAAATCCTTCCCCAAAAAGAAAAAAGGAATTTTGGGAGTTTTTCCTTCTAATATTTTTTCTCCATTTTTCCCATCCAAATTAAGGGTTAGAGTATGTAAATTTTTAGCCTAATGTAGATGAATTTTCAGACTCAACTCACCGATTGTTTTTATTTATTTGCTAAAAAATTTACCATCTATTTTGATTTGTTGTTTGTGCTTGCATCATGTCATCTAATTCATACCCCACAAGTAAGAGTTAAGTTTTCTTCCCTATATTTTTCTTCATTACATTTTTTGCAATTTTGAATTGTTTCTATCAAATTTTAACTGAATAATTTGCATTTTTACAAATTATAAAATTTAAACCATTAAAGTTAATCGGATAATTTACCATTGCAGTGAACTATCAACTTAGCGGAGAAAATCCATACGGAGTCTTTTTTCCATAACAAGGAACTAAAGACATGACATGATATACTATTGCAACAAAGTAAGACATACAAATATATATATATATATATATATATATGATTAAAATGGGTATTATTGAACAATTAGGACCATTCCCCCTCCCAAAAAAAAAAACTTATCAATCTTTATTTTGGTAAAAAAAAATTTAAAAAAAAAAGCTTATGATGACGAGATGATGTACGGATAGTTTTTAAGGGCTAAAATCAACGAGCCCAGGTGCTTCGGTTAAAAGGACGGTCTGAATATGCTAGCCCAAACCTATGACCCATTCTAATTCTGGCTCTATTAATTTTAATTCATTGTGTATAATTTTGTGAGAAAATATTCGTATACTTGAACTTCTCACATCGTTGTAAGTACTGAAACATAGCTTGTGTAATTTTTGGACGATAACCGGTGCATTTGTGCTTTTAGGCTCATAATAGTTTCATTTTCTTTCCAACTTTATTGGGTCAAAATTACCTTTTAATTTCTAAGCTGATTCCTTTGTATCTCATTTACAATCTTATGATAACAAAAGGCAATAATTCAATTAACTAATTAATTTTCTTGTATCTATATAATTCGTATGATCTAAATTCATTAAAATTATACTTTAATTGCGTGAATACATTGTTTTTAACAAAAAAAAAGGTACAATAAAAAATTACACCCAATATATTTGGGTTTCATAAGCCTCGTATGGCAAAATAAGTTGAGTTGTTCATCATTTTGTGAATAATGTATGATAAATAGCAATATTAATTCTTGGACCAAAATGAAAAAAACTAGTAACTACAAAGGGAAAAAAAATTTCTTTTAAGCTTAAATATTAATTTTAACTAAATATAAAAATCCCCAAAAAATATCTCTAAAATTTTTAAATCATAAATTAGAAATGACTACAAAAATATTCTGTTATTTACTTTTTAAATGTTGTTAATTGTTATTAAAGTGTAATGAATAAGATTGATATAAACTTTTAAAATCTAAAAATATTTTTTGGGATTCTCTCTAAATTAAATTACCATAATTAACATAATTTTACTTGAAATGAGATTTAATTTCTTACAAGAAATCCCAAGTATTGCATCACAAGTCAAATTGTGAAGTTGAAAAAGCATCACTGCTTTTCCTTTGTTTCTAAGAAATTTAACTTAATTTTCTTTTCAAACATGCATTTCATTTTCCCCCCTTATAACACTAATCAACTTTTAGAAATTATATTAGACTCTGACTAATCTAGATCAAACTAGATCAAACTACTAAGGTTTAGATTTAATGCACACATTTTAATTATTATCAAAATCATCACTCATACTTGCTATATTTTGATTTGTTTTAAATAATTACTTTCTCAATATGCATATTATCTTTTTTTCCCCTCTTCGTGGACTAAAGAGTGCCACTAACTGACATGATGGTTATGATGAATCTTCACAAACTGTGGCCTTAAATAAAGCCAAAAAAAACTTATTTAACTTTCAGCTATCAACACCTTTTACAAATAAAAAGATAGTTCCGATAAAATGAAAAAAAAAGAAGGAGAAAAGCAATTTTATTTTGTTAAATAGATGGCAGAATTTTTTTTCCCCCAAAAAACAACTTTTTCATTCTCATTTTGCACACAACAACCTCAACATTGACTCAACCCAAATCCTCTCAAATACCTGTTCTCTCAATTTTGTCTTCACTTTTCATCTCGTTCATTTGTACAATCAAATGGGTTGAAAAAGGAGCTAATAGACATAACATGTGCCCATAGTCACCAAACCAAAATTCCAGTACATATTTTTTTTATAAATAACTAATTTAATCAATATTTTTTAGTTTCAGCTACATTTAGAATAGGAGAGTATAATATGTACATATACTTGTAATTTTTTTTTAATCTGTCTTGGTCACAATGAATTCTTTGATACATATGTTACCTAAATTTTCAAGGAAATAATAAAAAAGCATTTATAAAAACTTTAAAAATGTATAATTAAAATTTAAGAATAACTTCAAATTCATGATTTTTTGTGCAATATAAGAGCCTGTTTGGAGGTGTTTGGCAACAATGTAAAAAGCACTTTTAAGGTCTAAACCATGGTTTGGATTAAAATATATCCAAACACCTCACATAATTTTGAAATCATGGTTTCACCAGAAAATCATGATTTGGCCAGTGTTGGCAACAATGTAAAAAGCACTTTTAAGGTCCAAACCATGTATCCAACCATCTCAGATTAGGGGTGTTCAATTTGTCCCGTCCCGGTCGTCCCGTCCCGTCCCGGTTCCGGTGAGTTCGGGACAGGACAAAAAAAAAATTCGGAACGGGACAAGTACGGGACGGGACGGGACAGTGACCGGGACGGGACGGGACGCGGGACGGGGTTGTCCCGTCCCGTCCCGTCCCGGGATATTTTTTTTTTAAAAAATTATTTATTAATAATTATTATTAGATTATTCAATTTACTTATTAATAATAATTATTATTATTATAGTGATTTTTAACTCTTAAGTTGTAATATTATCTGAACAATATCTCTTTCCTCAATAAAATAATTCATAAAGCCATTATATAGTGTTTCTTTTATTGTATTTTTTTTTACAGTATTGTTTTTACACCTTTTTTATACTATATAATTGAGCTTTCTACATAATATTTTTTATAATGTTTTTATCTTTAAAAGCCTAACAAAAAATAAGCATTATAACATAAAAAAAATTTCATATAAAAAATTATAGTATTTTTTAAAAAAAAAGGGGAGGGGAACGGGACGTCCCGTCCCGTCCCGGTTCCGTCCCGGTCTCACACGAAACTAAAACCCTGTCCCGTCCCGTCCCGTGAACACTCCTACCTCAGATAATTTCGAAATCATGGTTTTACCAGAAAACCATGGTTTGACCCGGTAAAACCATGGTTTCATCTTAAGTGAAAAAATTTCGCTTCTGAACGATTGAATGGGTGGGTATGCATGATTATTACACTGTCAGAATACAGCTAATGACAAGTGTCCAGAAATACCCTTCAGTAAAAATCCAAAACTTTACATTTTCTCTTTCCTCGTTCTACTTTTCTTTCTCATTTTCTTCCACTTTCTCGTTGCTTTTTTATTTCAAACGCTGTATATAGTTGCAACCTCACAATAGTTATGACACTTGATTATTAATCTCATACTTTATATACACTTTTAATTATTAATTAGTTATATAATTAATAAATTATTTTTATGTATGTTTATTCAATTTTGTAAGAAAAAAATATTATGAGATATCATGTTTAAAATCTTTAAGATAAAATAACATTTTTTTGTTGAAAAAATTATTTTTTATAAACATATTTAATCTTATATTTTATAAATACATTTACACATATTAATTAATTATTAATTATATTATCTTATATATTATTAA